GGCCTCCCCTAATTTCTTCCAGCTCTGTAAGTCTTTTCCATCCTGCAGCTAATTTCCACCGATTCTTTTGTCGTCGTTTGTTCATTGTGTCGATCTGCCATAGGCGATCTACCTATGCTTTTTCTACCTGCGCGTGGTCTCTACACTGTATTTTTTTGAGTCAAATGCCGTCGTTAAAGCTGGTCACATGTACCGCACAGTTCCACTTCAACCATGCTTAGTACTCTATTATATCTGTGACTTCTGTCCTTCTTATTTCCTTGTTTTTAACCCTGTCTCTGAGAGTCAGTCTGAGTAACGACCATTCAATTCTTATTTGGGCCACAACCGTCTAATACAGCTTAATATGTGGCCCATGCTAAAGTGATTCTTCTTTGCAGGTTAGCGATTTGGTTGTTTCTGGCATTTTGAATTTCATGACCTAAGTATTTATAATTATTTACTAATGTTATTTTGTTTCAGTAGACTTCGATTATCTGTTGGTACCAGATTTATCATTGTGTCTTTCCAAATTTTATGTTCAAATCAACTTCCATACAGGCAGTATCTAACTTAGTAAGTATAGTTCCAATCTCTGATAAGTTATCTCTTATCAGAACTGTGTCGTCTGCAAGTTGTAGTTGGGGAAGCATTCGACATTCATTTCTTTTTCATTACACTCCAATTGTTTAAAACCATTTTACAGAACTACCGTAAATAGTTTGGGAGATAACGTGTCTTCTTTTTTGATGTATATTTTTACTTTTATGCATTTTGTATCCTTATATAACCTTACATTGTTGCATGGTCATGGTTGAATTATTGTATATGTTTTCAATCAGTTTTCTTTTCTTCATTCCTTGAGCCCTTGTCAGGACGTGGTCAAACTTTAAATATTATTAGCTTGCTGTCTCCATTGGCTACGGTGCCATATGAACTGCTTCATATAGGGATTTTCTCAGCAGAATCTTCATTTGGCCTGCCCATTGTAATGGAGATCTCTCTTGGTCTTCGGCCTTTCACCTTTCCTTCTACAACCGATAGTTCCATGGTCCCGTTCTTCTAGCTATGTGGCCAAAGTAAATTAGGTATCATCGGTTTACTTTTTTTAATAGCCTGTCTTTTATATGAAGCTCTATCAGAATTGACAGGTTAGTTCTATATTCTGTACAGGACATGCGTAGAATTATTCTATAGACTTACATTTCGGAGGCTTCGATCTTACTAAGCCACATGATTTTAATTTATTTTATCTTAATTAATCTTAATAAACTTGAAAGCGACAACATTTTTGAATGGAGAATGAAAAGATCTTTCAAACGACATATCACAAGCCTATACTTCCTATTTTAAAAATTGGGGGTTGTACCTGTGATTCTAAAGGGGCTGAAGGTAGGGGTTGCCTTTTCACGTTAAAGAATATCAAGTTATAATTTAAATTTGACGTGTTTCAGGATTTTTGATAAATATGTACAGTAACCTAAATAATGAATTTATTCCATTTGGCTTTTACACACTGTATATATATATATATATATATATATATATATATATATATATATATATATATATATATATATATATATATTAAAAGGCCAAATATATGGCCTAGGAGACAAATCCGTTAAACTTCCCGTGCTCGAATCGGTATCACTAAAGTGTTATGATCATTTCGGCCTATCCATCGAGCAAAAAGACAATAGAGGGAATGTAATGGTAGTGGGGGCAAACATATTGTTAGACAGGAAGTGCGATCTTTAGAGGCTACATTAAACAAGGAAAGAGAGTCTCTTTCCTTGTTTGACATCAAATTTAGTTGGGTTATGTTATTGTTTGTCCCAAATGTCACATGAAATCTTATTTATATTGAAGTTTTTTAACAATTGTGTCGCATTTTAGACTCTTATCATTAATAATTAATTAAAACTTTCTCGTCTAAGACACATTCTGCGAAATATTATATAGCTTCTGTTGATAAGTGTCGGAAAATTTAAATTTGGCGCATTCGCATTTCCGGATATGTCCGCCATCAGAGGCCACTTTTTTGGTCTCCTTTCCATAAGGATTAGATTCCCTCTTTTGTCTTATTGCTCGATGGGCCTATCCCAGCCGAGCCGACCGATTCATGCAGCCATAGAAAAAACGAAGAGAGTAACTACTGCCAATATTGATATCCCTAGAGACTGGGCCAACTTGATAAGATTGGTTCCAAGAAAGTCTCCTATTATTGTCAACGAAATGGAGCAGAACCAGTTTTTGAACTTCAAAGCAATGCTGACAAACTACTATCAACATAGAAAAGTCAATACCAATGGAGACCCAGTACCATGGAAAAAGATAAGTATGCTGCGTTACAGATGTGAAAATCCAGGTATATTTTTTTACAAAATATCATACGAGGCGGAATCTGCCTTTATGACTGTTGACTTAGTTAGGAAATCTAGGAATCCATCACAATCGACATTAAGACCACTTTTCACGAAGCCGTTGGGAATTCCAGCGAACAAACTACAACATCTTAGAGACTTGATGCCTTACATCGACCAAAGCAGCCGTCCATATTATGAACAGTTTATCAATTCTTTAACTCCATCATCAACTGGTATTGACACTTTAAGTGATGATAGCTGTGATGAAGATGAAGTCTAAATATTATACTACTCCCAAAAGTAATGTATTATTTTTTAAATAAAACTTTGCGTTTTTATTGTAAATTTAATTGTATCTTAGATAATAGAATAAGGGTCAAAGTTAATGAAAAATACTTTTTTTCTGTTTAAAAAAGGGCCGATGTCATTTTTTTTTCAAGAAAGAATCGAACGATGTTGAACATTTTAGTCTATCTGTAAAAATCATTTATATGTTGATAATTTCACGTAACGACAATTTCCAATAATGTGGAAATGGGTCTACAACTAAACTCACAATTTTGTGTAAATCTTCCAACTTAAATATCTTAAAACCACTGTTTTTGACATTGGCCCTTCTAGAACCAAGCCACAGAGTTAATTTTAATATTTTTAATTTTCAATTTTAATATTGAATTAATGCATACAAAAATTTAAAGAGAAAATGTTGAAAAATAGTTTTTTTTATTGTGAATAAACAATTATAAACAATTTAAAATTATTTTTAATTCTAAACAAAAATAATTCACTCAAAAATAAAAATATTTTTCTCTAGTAAAAACAACATGTTTTGAAGCACTTCATATACAACAAATAAAAGTTGATATCTCTAAGGTATATGGTGTAAATCAGTATATATTACTGTTTGTATAAGAAAATAAATTTGCTTTTACTATTTTTCTTACAATTTCATAATATTTACTCAAGTTTAGATAAAACGAAAAAAGTAAAGACTCACTTTGAAGTTTATTAAATGTCACTTGGGGTTTAAATAAACTACTGTAGAGGTACATCGTATAAAATATTTTGTATAATAGTTTAATGTAGCTGCTGCTTTTACTACTTTCCTTATAATTTCACCATATTTTCAAACATATTAGACTTTCCTAGGATTTCAAATGTTTCACCAAAATTGGGTAAAAAAAGGTATAAAAACATAAAAGAATATTTGTAAAACGTGATTTAATGATATTTTATAACTACATCGATCAAATAAACTTAAACAGTAGAGGTGAAGTCGTATAAAACATTTTAAATCTACAATTAAAAAAAAATAATGGTCATTCATCGGGATAAAAAATATCCTATCTTCTAAATTGGAATAAATACACTTACACAAAATTTTATTGCAATCGGTTCAGTAGTTTTTAAATATTAGTGGGGACAATCACCGTGCCATAAGATTTTTATATACTCTTTTTCAAAGTAAAACACTTGCACGTCACGATTTATACAAAGTGATGTCACTTGTATTTAAAATTTCCAGAACATCAACCTTGGAGTTCAAATTTTCCTAACACAGCTAATTATACAAAACCCATACGGAACTGCTCGATCTTTCATAGGCGTCAACATGATGTATTAATCAGAAAAACGCGATCATCATTATATTGGAAATTTTAGAATTATATTGATTAAATAACCAAAAACATTTGTTATTAATAATATAAATTTTATGAAATAACTCTTCAAGTCTAATATTTCACAAAATAATAATTTTAATTAAATATCTTAGACAATTGTACGCAACTGACACGGAAATACTTCAAATTTTATTGACAGTTAAGCTTGTGGCAAAAGTGTATAAAGTGTTGCCGCTTTGTTAGAGTAGGAATTTTGTTTTGATTTCTTACACAATTTGATCATAATATTATGTATATTAATAAATTGTATCTATAAATACACATTAAATTTAGATTAATACCTTTAAAAACTAATTATTGTTGTGTATTGTGATATGCCAAAACAAATAAATAGTCTGTAGAAAGCTGATAAGCTTTCATATAAGTTAGATTATTTTGAACAAGAAATAATGGCGGGATGTTTTTACTATTAAAGCCCTAAAAGAGGTAAGTTTAAAATTTAGAATATATAATTTTGTATTAAAATGTTTTCTTATGTATTTTAATGTGTTGCAGTATTCTTAAAACTACGTGTATTTACTGTTAATATAATAGTTTGATAAATATTTGACATTTTAAAAATTCCGTACTTACAATATTCTAATGTTTTGGCACCGCTATGGGGTTCTGACGACGTAAATCTTGAATGAAATATATATTATATATATATATATATATATATATATATAATATATACATAGATATTAAAATTTGACAAATTTCATAACATATTCTGTCATTTTGTGTACGTACACATGTTTCAAGAATGATCTTAGCTCACATTTACATTTTTTATTTCTTAATTTGTGTTTTATTGTTTTTAGGTCAGATCGTGGCTCTCTAACTAAAATTTTAATTTAACAAGATAATGCAATCAATTATTACTTGATTATTAGTTAAACATAAAATTAACCTTGCCAGTAAATCTAATTACATTGTAATTAAGTATCGCTATATCAGTAACTAGGTTAAAAACGAAAATTCTCCTTACCGTTAATTCAATATTTTTTGCCAGAGTAGATTCTGCGATGTTTGCGAAAGGTTTGTCAGCACCCCAACATTCCACGTATTTGGTCATTTTACTTGATGGCCTAGTCCTTGTATGAGGAACTGACAATCCTAAGTTGCCGTCGCAAATGCTGTTCGCTCTTTCTGACACATTGGATAAACGTGGCTTAAGGTTACCATTTTGAGCTTCGGTTTCTGCTTTCTAAAATAAATTAAAAAATTAATATTATGTCAATAAATTAGTATAACTTAAAGAGAACGTAAAATGATAAATGTGAATTGTAGAGTGCATGGTCTAACGTCCTTTTTTTCGGTTTGTCTTACAATATTCATATTAATACCTATATTAAACCTATTAAGTCAAAGTGCAGAAATTGAGGTATCGGTGTTTTGTGGTTGATTGGACGTCTATATAAACAAATTATTAAAACTCGAATAGAAGATAATATGAGAAAAAACGAAGAGCAAAGTGATTTTAGGCCCATAGCTGGGCCACAGAATAATAAACAATCAGAATGCCCACTCTGCCTGTCGAGATAAGTACGCGCATCTCGTTCGCGCACACGGAATCAGCCATGTTTTAAACGGAACCAATGCTGTTTAGTGAAATATTATCTGGTGTGCATAGAAAAATTAACCCAGTTTAATTTATTTACGGTAACCATAGATATAATATGCACTATTTTGTTCGTACTTTTGGTTGAAGAATATATTAAATTATTTCAAATTTACTAAATTATTATGCTCTAAAAATTTAATTTAATCTAAATGACGCATTCGATATGATGCGAAAATTACAAGAACAGTTAGCTGAATATAGCCAAGAAATTATTCTATGTAAAAAAAAACACCTGATGACCAGTGACTTTAAACATCAAGGTGTCACATTCCTTAATACAGGAACGTCTAATGTAGATGTTGCTAATAAAATAACTTAATGTAAGAGAAAATTACCAGACAAAGAGAAGAGAAGAAAAGAAGATATAAAAAAAAACGAAATCACTTAAATAAGGAACTTAAATATATAGAAAACTTCAACAGGAAGAAAGGATTCAGAGCATTTTATAAGAAAGTTAACATGAACAGAAAATAATTCAAGGCAATCACAAGAGAATACAGAAGTCAGAATGGCTAACTATTAACAACAAGGAAAGATAATTGAATAGATGGGTGGAATACTTTAACCAGGCACTTAATATAGAGGGAGAAGAAATCCTGGAAGACAAAAAAGATGAGGTAAGTTATATAGACGAGAGGGAAGAGGAACCACCAACGATTCATGAAGTTAAAGATGAAGTTAAAAAACTAGTCGTAAACAATCACCCGAAATAGATAATCTCCCAGATAAACTATATAAAAAAGGTGGCCACGATACCATAATGGCATTACAGCAGTTTAAAAAAGAAATATGGACACAGAAATCCCTCCCAATAATTGGAATATTTGCTTCTAAATACAGCGTATAAAATATTTTCCATAGTACTATGGACCGTATGTTAGAAGAAACACTGAAATATGGTACATATACTCATCACATATTTATAGACTACAAAGCAGCATACGACTCTATGAATACAAGAGAAATGTTCGAAGAGAATTTAACAATGAATTCTAGTCGAACTGTCTGAATCTTTTAAAACAAATAACGGTCTGCGTCAGGGAGACTCGCTCTTCTGTATACTGTTCAATCTGGCTCTAAAAAAGTAATACGTATGGTACAAATCACAACCATTGCTTCAATATATAATAAATCGGTGCAAATCCTTGCCTATGCTGATAATATCAATATTGTTGGGAGAACGAAAAACGCTGTACGAGAGACATTATGCAGCATTAAAAGAATCTATGCTACAAAAATCATATGCTACAAAAATTTGTTTAATAATAAATACCAACAAAACAAAGTATGTTAAAATAAGCACGAAACCACAAATCCTACGACCACTTGTTATATTTGTTTATGGTTTAATATGGTTAGGTTTATGGTTTCATATTAAACACCAATAAAACGAATTATATGAAAATAAGCACGCAACCACAAATCCTATGACTACTTGTTATAGAAAACGACGTCATCCAAGCAGTGAACAAATTTGTATACCTGGGAGCTCTTCTTAACACTGAAAATAATACTGACGCAGAGATAAACCGCAGAATTTGCACTGCCAACAGATGCTATTTTTGGCTCAGTCTTCTCCTTATAATCCACAATTATATCGAGAAATATAAAAATAAAACGCTGTAAAAGAATAATATGCCCAGTGCTAACATATGGTTTAGAGACCTGGACTGTAACAAAAAGTAATAAAATTATGTCAAGATATTTCGAAAGAAAAGCACTAAAGCGAATCTGTGGAGCCGTGAATGACAATTAAGTGTGGAGAAGGAACTTTATACAGTATAGCAGGAAGTAGATATCGTAAAACACATTAAGAAAGGACGTCTGAGGTGGATAGGGCATGTAATGTGGATAGAACAAAATTATTTAGCTAGAAAAACGCTCCTTGATAGACCTATTGGTCAGAGAAGAAGAGGAAGATCCAGAACAAGGTTTTGGATCTCTAAAAAGAAATATAAGGCAAGTGAACTCCATATTAAAGAATAATAAAGTTACAAGAGACACTAAACGTTTGATTTGGAGCAATAATAGAAAGTTTATCTATGTATGGATCCGAAGTCTGGATACTAAATAAGGACAAAGAGAAACATTAAAGGCTACGGAGACAGACTACTGGAGAAGAAGCTGTAGGATCTCCAAGCTCGAACACATAAGAAATAATAAAATTAGATAAAGGATACAAGTAGAAGGCAACAGACATCTTCAGAGAATAGAAGCGAGTAGATGATCGAAAAGAGTATGGCAGTGGACTGTCGTTGGACGAAAGAAATGAGCACAGTCAAAGAGGACTTGACATGTTGAGGTCCAAGAAGCAATGACAGCGAGGTCGAAGGTACCTTTAGTAAAATTTATTTTAATCAATTATCAATATCTGAGCATCCTGCAAAATGCGAAAAAATTTGTATTTATTGCCATATTTTATGTTACTACGTTTCACTTATTTTATTTAAATGTAATGTAATGTTTATTTACGAACTTGCCATTTTTTACAAATCAACTTAAATTAACTTATACGATTAAAGCACAATGTGATTACATAAAAAGGTATTTTCGATCTTAATTGTTAATAGTACTTAGCGTTAATAAATGAAAAAAATCATTGCTATCAAATTTGTTTGCATTTCGACACATTCTCAGTTCGATTATGAAATTCTAAATAAAATAAGTCTTGGTATCTAGTGTCTCTATATATAGGGAGTACGGAAGTAAACCTTTTCCAAAAGAGCACTAGCATCAATGCTTCCTCGAATTAATTTATATATAAATGCTACATCTAGCAATATTCATCTTTCTTCAAGAAAAGGCAATTTAAGTAAATGTTACAACATAATGTATTCAGTTTCAGTTACAGGTATTCTCAATTTAAAAGCAATAAATCTTAAGAACTTTTTCAGTACTCTAATAGATCTTTGTAGCATTTTTAATAAGGAGACCAAATATTGCTATTATATTCCAAAACCGATCTAATAGGGAAACAGTAAATATTTTTGAGACAATAAATATTATCAAATTCACAGAGGCTACGGTTAATGAATCTTAAAAGTTTCATGGATCTATTCACCTGAAGCTCCTAGTATGGGTCGAGCTACCGCGTTTAATCGTCATAATGTGTCACAGTTTTTTAACAATCTCGGCGAAGTTTATGATAAATATAAATTTGAGCTCCAAGAAGTGTACAATATTAACGAAACTGGACTTACAACTGTCCAAAGGCCTACAAAAATCATTGCAAAAAGGGGAACTAAGCAGGTAGGTGCTATCAGATCTGGAGAAAGAGGTCAACTTGTTACCTTGGTATTAGCTGTCAACGCAACTGGAAATTTTGTACCTCCATTTTTAATATTTCCGAGAAAGAAATTCAAAGATGTTATGGTAGCCAATGGACCTCCTGGTTGTGTAGGTGCGTCTCATTCCTCTGAATGTGATAACTTTTTGTTGTTTATGAAACATTTCGTCCAGTTTGTACGATGTAGCAAAGAGAAACCCGTTTTGATGGTATTAGATAATCACGAGTCTCATTTGTCTATTCCGGTGTTGAATTTTTGCAAAGAAAATGAAGTGGTTCTTTTAAGTTTCCCGCCACATACATCACACAAGTTGCAGCCGCTTGATAGGACGGTATTTGGCCCACTTAAAAGGTATTTTAATAGTGCTGCAGATGCATGGTTAAGATCTAATCCCGGTAAAGTAATGAACATTTACGATATACCTATCGTTCTTAAAGATTCATTTCCTCTTGCTGTTACACCTCTCAATATACAAAAAGGATTTAGTGTGTCAGGATTTTGGCCATACAACAGAGAAATTTTTAAAGATGATGAATTCTTGCCTGCAGAGGTAACAAATAGGCCAATAACAGAAAATATAAACGCAACAGTAGTCATAGATCCGGCACCTATTGGCACCGAAACACATAGAACTCCTTCCCAACAGCAACTTTCTACAAGCACAGATTTTAACTTGGCGATAAATGAACCTGTCGATTCACCTACTCATATAACGCCCCAGGAGTTGAAGCCTTATCTAAAAGCAATGCCAAGGAAATCCAAAGGGGATCGGAAGAAAAGAACTTAAAACCTTAAACAACCTGGTTTCAGAATTTCAAAGCTCCTCGTAAATATATTACTACCATAAATCGACTACGCTTCGGACATGCCATACCCATACCATTTATTTAAAATAAAAGTCATCGATGATGATAGTTGCAAATATTGAGGTGAGCTAGGTGACCTCAATCACATCTTCTTTGAATGTCCTAAATTTATTCAGCATTCAAACTACCTGTATACAAAATTAACTAAATGCAATATATACGCTTCATATAATATACAGTCCTTGTTAGACATATGTTCTGTAACAATATAATCTAATTATAGAACTTTTGTCAGACACACGCATAGTTTTATTAATCTGGTAATCGTTCATGAGCGTGTATCCTGTACCCTTGTACCCTTTGTTTTTCCTAATATGTAACAATACCTTATCCGTGGTCCAGTATTGTTTGTCTGTTAAAATAAATGTCTTGACGGACCCCTAGACGAGAAGCGAGTGTCCTTATATTTTCCTTCAACGTGTTCTATTAATTATTCGTCTATTTCGTTTTAGGGATATCGCTGTACATTTGTCTGAGAGAAATAATCTGCACTTATGTGTATATACTTTCTTAAGAAATATATTATAACCTTTCGAGACTGGCTGAATGACGAAAGTCTATGCCACAAAGAAAATAAATAATCATAAATTATATGCAAGTCTTAATAGAAAAGGGGATTTTACCCTAACTAAAATAATAAGTTCTCTGAATCTCTCTCATGAAACGTTACTCTAATTACTAGAAGATTAACTTAACTTCTTCAAACAAAGCAATGCGCTTCAACGATGGCAAAACATTAATCTCTTTGAGAAATGATCATTTTTGAAGCTCTTCTTGGCAAATAACGTTATGGTCAAATAAACACCACGAAAATTGAAAATGTCACTGAAAAATGTTGTTTACCGACAAACATAATAGGTCCGCAGAATTTGTCTCTTGACGTCGAAAACAAATAGGAAGTTTGAAGCTCTGAAAAATTTCTTTTTTGTTTGCAATAGTAGTCATTACACGCTTTTTCGCTTAAAGCGATACGGATTTGTGGTTGCCGTAAAAAAGTAATAATATACTCCAGCTCGTTTGTGAATGTAAAATTGATTATTAGGTAAATTCTATTCTATTGACAGTTTTACTCTATTGCCAGTACTCTTTGGTTCTTAATATATACCAATATAATGTAGGAATATAACATCATAACAAATTGTTAAATATTGTTCTTTGAAATATAATATAATATTAATTACTATTTAACTGGGAATAAGCCACAATTAAAGATAAAAATACGTTTGTTGACGTTTCAATTTCCACTTCGGAAATTGTTCTCAAAATACGAACTTTTTCTCAAAATGATTTCCGAAGTGGAAATTGAAACGTCAATAAACGTATTTTTATCTTTAATTGTGGCTTATTCCCAGTTAAATAGTAATTAATTTACAATGCCACAAGAAAATAGCTTCAGAATAATATTATCTCGCCCGGAAATTATCCGTCGATTAGACCTAATGGGGATACCACTTCAAAAAAGTGCTTTCAGACTCTAACTTATAGGTGTTCGGAAAAAATGTTAAAAATAAATTAGATGAATAAAAAAATAAGTAATAGAAAACTAAGCCTAATATTATTACCAAGACTAAGTTTTTTATTGTATTCTTAAGAGTATTCAAGAACCTGGAAAACATCATGAATGTGTTGGTTGTGTGAGTCCATTTCAAATAGGTAAAGAAATAATAAATAAGACTTACTCACAATCAATTTAATTTAACTATCAGACGACCGGTTTCGCTTTCTACAATATGCAAAGCATCTTCAGGTCTCGATACAAAGTTAAACAAATGCTGAAATGATAAAAAACCATATTAGGGTGTTGTCTAATAAAGATAAACAAATTAGATGTTGTAAATTACAATAATTATGCCAATATTACATGTCTGTGGTTTTATTTAATGATTGAGTGGAATAAAAGGTATAAAAATTTTTTAAGAAGGTTAAAAAGACAAGGTAATGCCCACAAATTGTTATAAAATCTCTTCTATTGTAATAAATTAATAAATGGGCAAATAAATAAATAAAATAAAAATTACTTACATGCCGGTACTCCATTAATAGATGGATGGTAGAACATGTTTGAAACTACTTTATATTGTTGAATGGAGAACTCAATACTATTATTGCAGTTGTTTGACAGTAAACGGGAAGTTCTTGAGGAGATAGATTTGATCCAATGAATTTGAGATATGTGTGAGATTGTTTGTTAAATGTAAGTGGTGTAATATAATAATAACACAATAGTATATTACACCACTTACATTTAACAAACAATCTCACACATATCTCAAATTCATTGGATCAAATCTATCTCCTCAAGAACTTTCCGTTTACTGTCAAACAACTGCAATAATAGTATTGAGTTCTCCATTCAACAATATAAAGTAGTTTCAAACATGTTCTACCATCCATCTATTAATAGAGTACCGGCATGTAAGTAATTTTTATTTTATTTATTTATTTGCTCATTTATTAATTTATTACAATAGAAGAGATTTTATAACAATTTGTGGGCCTTACCTTGTCTTTTTAACTTTCTTAAAAAATTTTTATACCTTTTATTCCACTCAATCATTTAAATAAAACCACAGACATGTAATATTGGCATAATTATTGTAATTTATAACATCTAATTTGTTTATCTTTATTAGACAACACCCTAATATGGGTTTTTATCATTTCAGCATTTGTTTAACTTTGTATCGAGACCTGAAGATGCTTTGCATATTGTAGAAAGCGAAACCGGTCGTCTGATAGTTAAATCAAATTGATTGTGAGTAAGTCTTATTTATTATTTCTTTACCAACCTGGAAAGCTTTTTATTTTCCATTTTATAATAAAAAATAATACAAATAAAGTTGTAGAGATTTAGCACAAAAACCCTTAGCACTCCTTATTCCAAGATGGCGAGTATTCAAGGACTTGGTTAAAATCGAAGCGTTGTAAAATCCAGAAAAAATAATAAAATTAAACAAATTTATAATGAAAATTATTCCTCAAAAACCATCCCATAATATTGCTCTAGCGTCATTTTTTGTAAAATAACCAGAAAAAAGTTATAAGGCCCAAAGAAAAGCTGTTCAAAAGCTGTTTGTCATGTTTGTCTATAATATTTTTCATTTTACGATTAAAAGGGATATGAATAAAGTTGTAGACAATTTAGTTTGCTACAAATAATGTTAACATTTTCTCTAGAGTTACTAGTTTACGAGATACAGCATAAAAGCCTTTTGCACCACTTTTTTCAAGGGTGGCGATCCCACAAACTTGAACTTAAGCTTATTCTTACCCCCTCCCCTAACACATAAAAACTATTAAATTACGTCCTCTCAAAAATGTAATCCTAATGTAATTTTTCAATTGACTAATACCGCAAAACGGGATTGCTGCTTTGATCCACTTTAGGCCAGAAAGTATGAGAGCTATTATTTGAGCTCGAGGAGCTAATACTACTTTACTAATACTTTTTAATTTTCCTTAAAATAAACTTTGTTGTTCGGTTAATATTGCTGGGCGGTCTTTTTATAATTGCTAAAAAAATATTGACAGATAAAAAATGGAATAAAACATAATTATAGCTAACATAAAAACTTATACATCTTACCTTTGGTGGTACTATAAGGAACGTTTCTATTTTATGATCTGACAGATAATTTTCCCTGCTTGCACCTTCGCCATTTTCGACTTGGAATTTATCGCCCAGTTGATTAAGCGTGGCTCGTGTGATATGGACACGGCTGTAAAAATAGATAAACTTTAAAATGAATTCTGAAAAACTTTTAGTTATAAATATTTTTAAAATAAATTAATCACACCGAAATTTGCCTATACGCACAATTTGTTTGTAATAAAATTTTACGAATTATATTAATTGTTATATTCATTAACATGAAAGTTTGCCACTAATTACCGTTAGACCTTGTATTTGGCCTTAGTATATCCATGCCTTTTGTATCAAGGCTAAATTGAATCTCCTCACAGCAACAGTAAGTTCTTCTAAACTGGCCTTACTGTGCTGAAGATTCACTTTTAGAACCCTGATTGCGTTTATGAAGACCTAAATTGTGTCGAAATATTATGTGTAAGTTGAGACGAAATATTGTTAAGAATCAGTGCGACCATACCATACCAAGGTTATAACATCTCAAAAAGCTTTCAGCTATCTGGGGCATCGCTTAGGCAAACGTATTCTACCTGGGCAAATTTTATTATTCTAACACATATTGTTCATTGACTTCCAACTAACAGGCCTTTGATAGCATAAACAGATAACAATTATCAAAAGAAATGAAAAGAATGTAAATACCAGAAAAGTTAATAAGACTTACTAGAACGATAGTAAAGGACTCACCAGCAAGAGTCAAAACAACTGAAGGAGATTCAAACGACATTAATATAGACCATGGCGTAAAACAAGGAGATAGTCTGTCAACGACGCTATTTAAAATCAGAATAGAAGGAGTAATCAGAGACGCAGAGCTGAAAAAAACAATTATTCAAAGTTTAACACAAATCATAGAATACGCGGACGACCTAGCATTGGTATCGTGTGACAAACAAATCTAGAAGAAACACCAAAGTAAAGAAATCTAGAAGTACAAGAGATGATGTAAACAGAGTAACAGAAATAAAAATGGGTGAAAATAAATTCCAGTGGGTCGATCACTTTTAATACTTGAGGTGTTCGTAGACAGCAAAAACAGAAGGAGAAATTGGCGAACCTATACTCTACTTATAATCATCAGTCTTTATACAGGGTACCATCAGTACCAGTTCAAGGCGTAGAGGAAATGATCCTGGACCGGCTTGAAACTGGTTTACTATAAGCATGACTGAAGCAGTTTAAATGGTTGTGGTACTGCCATGAGGAAGGCAACGGGAATTATATTTTCCACAAATCTAAATGGCAGACGGAAAAAAGAAAATGGCCCTCAGTCCAGGATACCTCTTAAATGGGGAGAGAGTGCGAAGAATCCCCCTTCAACTACTCAAGAAAGTGGACAGAGAATACAAATATATTAACGAATGGTACGCATTGTCACCTGAATTACGGTGCAGTAACCCCGGAGGTCAGCAAACTCAATCAACACTTTGTCAGCATTTAATTTTTATATAAAAGCAATTGTATTGTAATTATATTCAGTTATTTTCAATCAATAAAGCAGTGCAGTATAGTTGTAAAAGTGAATAAAGGGTCTTTTTAAAAAGTACCTTCGTGAGTTCAAACCTTTAAGTGGCACAGTGCAGTAAGATAGTGGGAGAGTCTACAGAAGATCCTCGTCGTTCTTAAACGTTTACCCGCTACGAACCTACCAACTTCAAGGGAAAACTACGGCTGTTCAACCCCAGAAGTCAACGAAAATCCAGTGTTAAAGTGTAGAAATCAATTTATATGACGAAAGACGATAAAAAGAAAGCGAAAGAAGAAAAGAAACCAGTTCCTTCGAAAAGAAATGCACCCAAGCATCATCATTTATCTGTAAGCAAATTTAATCTTTTTTCTAATCATAACTTAATCGCTTCACAAGCTTCATCTCTTAGAATTAGTAATTCTCTTTCAACTATTAGTGAATCGATTATCGAACCTGGTGCTGCTTCTATTTCGGAAAATAACTCAGCTTCTCAATTTAGTTTAAAAACCAACGTTAGTTCTTTAAATAATACTTTAAATAGCTTAGATATACCATCTATAATTATTACCCCCGCTAGTCAATTAAATACTATGGCCGTGGCACCCGCTCCCGCTTTAGTTTTCGACGTCAATAAAGATCTTTCCATCGTGCCCGATTACGATGGCAACCCTAATGAACTTCATAACTTCATTGAAGTTACTACAATGCTTCTTAATCATTTCTGGGACCACAATAATCCCGATAACTTCCAAAATCACATGATAACTCGAGGTGTAATGAATAAAATTAAGGGAAGAGCTCGAGAAATCATTTCCGTATATGGGTGTAAAGATTGGCCCACAATAAGGACCATACTAATTCAAAACTTTGCCGATCAACGTAATGAAAATTCACTTACAAGAGACATGGTTAACTTAAGGCAAGGACCCAACGAAACTCCTCAACAATTTCACGAGAAAGTAATGTCACTTTTAAACACAATTTCTAATCACATCGAACTACATACCGATAATGCAGATGTAAAGAGGAGCAAAAAGGAATTCTTTCAACAGCAGGCCCTAACTACGTTCTTAGCAGGATTACGAGAACCAATGGGATCAACCATACGATCAATGAGGCCTACAAATCTTGCTTTCGCTCTTCAATTTATCCAAGAAGAAAACAATATTAGATATTTGCAGAAAACAAATTTTTCGTTGCCAAATAAGAATTCTACCCACATACAACCCCAGAGACAACCGCAGTTCACAACACCACCACAATGGCAACAACCCATGCCCAGGCCACAGTTACATCAACCATTTTTCGGAAGTAATCCAGCACCGTCCCGACCGACATTTACTCCAAGATGGCCGATACAACCCGCTCGATTCCAACCACCAAGGCAACAATTCACGGCAAACACTCAACCTCCAAGACCTAACCCATGGGCAAGCAGACCACCACAACAGTACAAACCAACACCCATGTCTATAAGTACACGCCAAACGGGACATAACAGAGGTTCAAGCTTCAGAAACGTTAGGCCGCAGCAACAGCAACCACACACCCCAAAGTTCACCGTAGAGGAGCTGTTCAATATTGAACAACAAGACGAAAACGATACCGATGCCTACTATGGAGAACAGACATACTACTATCCAAATCAAGACGCATATTCAGATGACTACCACGTAGAAGATTACCAAAATGCCCAATACGAAGAAGAGGATATAAATTTTCCAAAACTCCAAGAGGAAAACGAAGAAACGTAGTCGAACTTAATTCTTACTCAGATAAAAAAGAACTTCCATATATCGAAATTAAAAATCCTCCCCTTAAACTTCTTCTTGATACAGGGGCAACCAAATCATTTCTTAACCCCGAAATTGCATCCAAATTTTATAAAAATTTTATCAAACATGAACCGTTTGTAGTCAGTTCAATATTTCAAAACCATTCACAGGAATATTGTGCTGAAATTCCAATCTTCCCAGAATTTAAATCTAATATTAATTTAAAATTCTACCTTTTTAAATTCCATAAAACATTTGATGGTCTTATCGGCCTCGATAACTTAAAACTTCTACAAGCACATCTTAATTTCCCAGCATCCACACTAACTACAGCACACTCAGTTTTACCTATCTTTTATTATGAAACCAACAAAACACAATTTTATACAATTCAATTGGAACCCAGAACAATCACACAAGTACGACTTCCAGTAAAACAAACAAGAGGCACCATACTTATACCAAAACAAGAAATACAAGGGGAAACTCTAAGAGAAACTCTCAGTGAAGCTTGCAATCGTCTAGCCTGGACCGAAATGATCAACAATACTGATGAACCTATTCAAGTAGCACTCACCGATCCTGTTAGAAGCAATCCAATAGATCTTCATGAATATCACCTGTATACCTCGGACATCATTCCAATGGAAACAGAAACAATAGTAGACAGCGATCCTCTCATCAGAACAGATCATCTAAACCAGAAGAAGAGATGCACATCAGACGTTTATGTAGAAAATTTGCAGATATATTCCACAATCCTGATGATACTTTAACATTTACAAATCAAATAAAACACCACATAAGAACAACAGATGAAGTCCCAGTTTTCACAAAATCATATCGATATCCACACGTACATCGAGAAGAGGTCCAAAAACAAATCACATCAATGCTGGACCAAGGCATCATCAGACCAAGTCAATCACCCTGGTCATCTCCAATTTGGGTCGTACCAAAAAAACCAGACGCCTCTGGAAAAATTAAATGGAGAATCGTAGTCGATTACAGAAAGATAAATGAGAAAACTATAGACGATAGGTATCCAATTCCAAATATCACTGACATCCTTGATAAACTCGGACGTTGTCAATACTTTTCCACCCTCGATCTAGCCAGTGGATTTCACCAAATAGAAATGGCAGCGGAAGATATACAGAAAACAGCATTTAACGTGGAAAATGGCCATTATGAATACCTTAGAATGCCTTTTGGTTTAAAGAATGCACCCTCTACATTTCAGAGAATAATGGACAATGTGCTTAAAGGACTCATAGGAGAAATCTGCCTAGTATACATGGATGACATAATCGTATACTCAACTTCACTTCAGGAACACATGGTCAACCTTAAGAAAATCTTTGAAAGACTACGAGAAACTAGGTTCAAGATACAGATAGACAAATGCGAATTTTTAAAGAAAGAAGTTGAATTTTTGGGCCACGTCGTAACCCCCGAAGGAATAAAACCAAATCCAAGCAAAATTAAAGCCATCATAGACTATCCCATACCAAATACTACCAAGCAGATTAGAGGATTTCTAGGACTACTTGGATATTACAGAAAGTTCATTAAGGATTTCGCAAAAATAACAAAACCGCTCACCTCATGCTTAAAGAAGGACGCCAAGATAGAACACACAGAACAATTCCTAAACTGTATCAAAATCTGCAAAAACCTGTTAACCAACGAACCACTTCTACAATACCTGGATTTTACGAAGCCTTTCAATCTCACCACAGATGCAAGCAACTTTGCTATAGGTGCTATCCTGTCACAGGGTCCTGTAGGACAAGACAAACCCATTGCATATGCATCAAGAACACTGAA